ATTTTTTGATAAATGATAATGTAACTTAAGAGAGTCTGTTCAGGAAATGACCTTTTCGCTCCTTCCAAAACAATCAGCATGGTTTATACTAATATCCCCTATGCAAAGTGCAGAAGAGAAGCCACCAGGCTGATTGATGTAGGAGCAGCTGTCTCGCACATCTAACTCACTGGCTTTCACTGGACTTGCATCAGATTTTCTAAGGAAGAAACACTTCAGTCATACTGTGGAGGGCTGTATTGTTACTAAGTTCAAAAGGAAGTCAGGTTGGAGAAAGAGGGTTGGAAAATCCAATCACAACTTATAGGGAAATATGACACAGCAAACTTAATTTCAGATGGGTTTCATTGTAACTCTTTTATTACATACATAAGGACAAGATCTCCAAATAGCACTTCCTCTGCCATTTAAGCAACAAAAAAAATCCCCCAGGTGAAGTGACTTCAGACACACCTAAACTTTGGCACCAGGCAGACAGCTATTACAAATCTCCTACAGCAAGTTGTGTAGAACATGTTATTGCTGATAATGCTACAGTGTATTCTTCCCAGTACATTAACGCTTAGCTGTTTTGTACTCCTGCAAACTATTGTTGAGCTATATTTTTCATTTGAGACCATTTTCTTCTCTTGGGATACAGAGGAACCGAACTTCAGTTTCAGAAATAAAAAAATGAAAATAATTGAAGCACAGTCAAATGCTGTATTTCCTTGGCTAAGAAACTCTGCCCTGGATCTAAGCCAAATTTGTTTTTTAAAAAGTTAGTTTTGCTAAGAAATACTCTTTCTCTTTTTGAAGCTAGCATTGTTCTAACACTTGTTTTTAAAGGTCAGGATTAGAGGTCTTCCGAACATCCCCATTCCGTCCTGACAAGGGGGAAAAAAAAGTGAAAGCTAAACAGTCAAAATCCATTTCTTAGCTCCCTCTTTGCTATGGCATGTAAAACACACACAAGAAACCAGTTAGCTGTCAGTTAGTGGCATTCACGTAGTTTTGTTTGCGGGTACAGCACAAACACAGACACCACACTCAAACATGTGTCCTGTTTTAATATCACCACAAACCATTCCTAGAGTTAATGGTTAATAACTCACTTAAGCCTAGAGATTTTTTTTTTTTTTCAGTCAAAGGCTTAAACCAGTAACGGATGAAAATACTGAAGCACATTATTATAGCCATGCAAAAATAATCAAAATGACATAGGCCTGGTCTACAGAATTTACTGAGGCAGATCTCCCATGGAAAGCAATAGCAAATTGTCCCAAGAAAAGATTGCCAGACATATTATTTGTTATAGAAATGCTTTAGCTGCTAAAGAACTTCTGAGAAACCCAGTAATGCCTCAAAGTGAAATTAGATATTTTTATCAGCATGCCCAGACACTGCAGCATCATGTCCCCAGATCTGTTCAAAATATTTTTCCTAACCCTGAGATAGGTTGAGCAGCTTTCACTCCCTTTGGAGCCAGGGGCAAGGGCACTCAATCTTGCAAAATCCAGGCAGAGAGCTGACTGAATCCTTTCCAGTTATTTTGCTGAACTTATGATCAGACCCAATGTGAATAGTCAAGGGTAATAATGGTTAAATAAGAGCAACTCTGAGACAGAAAGTTGTTGCTTGAATAATGTTGCCTCTTAGTGACGCTAGATAGCCAGTGAAAAAAATGCAGAAAGAATGTGCCTGAAAAGAAGAGCTTATCTAGAAGTACATGGAGTCAGAATAGCCACAAGTCATGGATTTCTACTGTTTTCCCCATAATGAGACATTAAGTCTCGTATGTGCATAGTGTACTTGGATACAGTAATTAGTTTGGACACTCCGGTCAAATACAGACCATCAACATCCTTCTCTCAAAGGTGCCTACCACATGTAAGCTTAGCATTTACTGCACTTGGTTTGGGGTCAGACTCTTTTTCCTTGAATGAGAGGTGCGTTTTATAGAAGGCTGGAAGGGACCTCTAGTGGGTCATCTTAACCCTAACAGCCTGATATTTTTTTACATGCTGTACCCAATATGTGAATGCAATCATTCCAGTTTCCATTGCCTTCCTACTCTGTGTGTGTGGGTGAGATATTGTTGATATCTCCATTATGAAGCACTGCTTACATCAGCCTTCTTGGGCAAGTATTTTTCCCTGATTTACAAACACAGGAGTTGTTTGAATAACTGAGGCAGAAGGAGGCAGAAGGTCAATGAGATATGTATCTACTACATCTTCTTTGTTTTAAGATTTCTGATCTAGAGCATACAAAGGAAATTGGTAGGCAAAATGTAATCCTTAAGTCTGGCTGAGTAATAAAAGTCATGTGAAATGTAACACTACGTAATGTTATACAATCATCTGGAATAGCAGAATGTTATTTGGGGCCAGACTTGATGCTAAATATCATACAGGCATTTAAACAGAAACCCACCCTCTTTGGCACACTAACCCCTCACACGTCACTCCCTGCATTATTTTGGAAATGCATACTCACACAAGATGTAGATTTTGTAATGCTCTTTGACTGCCTTGTGTGTACTGGAACCAAACCTTTAGGTTTCAGCTCTGTAAAATGGGATAGCTTTTCAAGCAAGAGGACTTTAATAACAGGCTTTAGAGATTCAAGATTTTGTCACAGTGGGTAAATTGACCAAATACAGGATTAAGGCAGCTTTAGGTTGTCTATGATAAAAGGAATTATCCTTGGTAGGTTACAAGAGAGAGTAGGAAAGCTTTGCTCATCACATAAGACATACTGTTTTAGACTCATTAAAGCACTGAGATTTTGTATGCTTGTTATAAACTAGAAGAGTGAAAGGAAAACTGCATTTCCCATGCAAATATCCTGGGAAAATAGATTACTGAAGATAGGAATGTAACGTGAGCCACAATGGACAGCTTGACAAGCAGCACAGAAGTATGCCACTCAGAGGAGTCCAAGGTGCTAGTTTTATCAGCATACTTGCAAATCAGACTGACCTTAACGAGAAGGTTGTTAGAGATGGCTATTGGAGAGCTTCAGGGAGTGCACTGGTCAAAAAAATTCTCCTGGGGGAGATACTGAGCTTGTGTTAATGGCCACAGCTGCACTGAAGAGAATGAAACAATACGGGTTCAGCTCAGTATTATCACATTGCATTTTTGCTTAGGGACATTGAGTTGAAGGGCATAAAATGCTTGCCCTACAGCCTGAAGTAATCCAAAACAGATTTTGGTTCACTTAAAACATAGGCAATGTTTGGTCAAATGTGTGCTCACAAACCTGAGTATATCTAGGCCTGATTTTGAGCAAGTATCCCTACTGTATCACTTAATGCAAAAACAACAGTCATCTTTCCGTCTTGTTGTGGAATGGGGGAAAGCTGCTGTTTGAATTTTACACTGAGTAATAGAGATGTAGTATCACTTGAACCCATCACTTGAACCCAATACTCAAAAAATGCAGCTCTACAAAGACAAGAAGTGAAGGGGATGCTCTTCAACCAATGCCACTTGAAGTTGCCAATTTCAAATAGCTCTACTGTTGGTCAAATCACAAATCTAAAGGCTTTGGCTGAAGAGAACAGAGAAAGATAAATTGCAGAACACTCCCAATCGTTTGGCGTACTATCTTTGTCCACCACATTTTGAAACCTGGTAATGTAACGGGATAATTAGGGATGGGATGGACGGAAGGAATATTCACGCACAGTTATGTGTCTTCTCCCATTTCACTCACACGCAGAAACAAGTTCTTATCCAGCTAACTGACCAAATGATTATACGACAGGAAGGCAGTGAATTCATTTTCTTTGGCCAGTAAGAATCAAGTCACATGCAGTACCCTGATGCAAGATGAGAGGATACATAGCCAATCTCAGCACACTGAAGTAGGGCAATTGGAAGGATAAACTGTATTATAGCATTCATGGGAACATAGCTAAAATCCCAGCTTGCGCTCTTTCTGTGGTTCACAGTGCAGCTGTGCATCTATCCCACACCAAGGAAAAAGCATGTATTTTCTCACGGTTATTTATTATCCAGGTGCCACTTGTATCTTCTTTCCTCAGACGTTTCGTGTCTTCTTTGCCAGTACAACACCTCTCAAAGACAGATAGCTAGCCATCTCCCAGTTCCTCAAAAACAAGACAGAGGTTAGTGAACCAAAAGGTCATGAACTCTGGAAAAGTACCAGAGACCCACTCAAACAAACCAGGATGCTCTTGAAGAAGATCCAGCGAAGGCGGCTAGCATAAAACTCAGAAAGCACAGCAGACAAGAAATTTGGCCCCAAAAGTTCACGCTTAAAGGAATACCATAAAGGCATCTAAAACCATAATTAGACACAAGTGGCCAAACAGTAAAATCAACAGGAGTGGCTGAGGCTCATCTCTGCTGATGCTCAGGCTGCTGCCTCTCTGGATAGCTCATTATGGAGTGAAGTGCCTACATTTTAGGCACCAAATTCGAATATTTTTCCATTACGCTCCTGCAACTGCACTTATTTAAATTTAGAAATGAAATGCACTTTTATGTATTTATTTATGTTTTTGAAGTACATGACTGAGCAGAAGAAAATTATTAGAATGATGCTGTATAAACACTGCTTCCGGCTTCAGTACAAGTACTTGTTATTCCCTCTCCTCCTTGACTGCAGTGCTCATTATCTGACCCTTTAGTTTTCCAATGTCTGACAACTGCCTTCCTGCTTTTACTGCCTGAAGTGTGATATATTAAGAGTTGTAGTGCTTTCCTAGAACAGAGCAGTGACTAATGCAACTCCAGGTCCAGCGGTGTGTGATCGGTCAGCTGAGCATTATTACCCGCTTAGGTCTTTCCCTTCTCTGTAGGGAGCAGCTACTCCGAGAAGCAGGACTTGCTCCAGCAGTCCGACTTAACTGGATGTCTCCAAGCCTGAGAGCTGGTGCACAGTCACTGTGGCCACCACTGCCAGAGGAAGAGAGGAGCTCTGCCAAGTACTGGGCAATAACCAAATCCTAAATGTTTTTTTCCCCCTCCTCTCTTCTCTTTCTTTAGCAAACGGGCTGTATCAGAGCACCAGCTATTGCATGACAAGGGCAAGTCAATCCAAGACTTACGAAGAAGAATATTCCTTCAAAATTTAATTGAAGGTGTCAACACTGCAGAAATCCGTGCAACTTCAGAGGTTTCACCTAACCCTAAGCCTGCTACCAACACGAAGAACTACCCTGTCCGATTTGGTAGTGAAGATGAGGGCAGATACCTAACTCAGGAGACAAACAAATCACAGACCTACAAGGAGCAGCCCCTGAAGGTATCGGGGAAGAAAAAGAAAGCAAAGCCTGGAAAACGTAAGGAACAAGAGAAGAAAAAGAGGCGAGCCCGCTCGGCTTGGCTAAATTCTGGCGTGTATGGAAGCAGCGTGACCGAGAGCCCGCTCTTGGACAACTCTGTTACTACACACAATCACACTTTAAGGTAATTCTGCTATATCCTTTTGGGGGGCATACCATATATTTGCTGAAATTGTTATCCTTTGATGTGAGAGGCCAAGGCCTCACTCAAACCTCGAGTAATAGCACATCTTTATGCTCATAACCGGGCAATGGCTTTTCAAGCAGTGCACAGTCTCAAGGTGCTTTCTGGAGGTAAGTACCCTTTCCACTTTGCACTGGTGACAAAGTCTTTCTTTCCTATGATGAACAATTCAAGTAAACCACTTATTGCCAAAATGAGCTTCCTGAAGCTGAGTGAGTAGTAAGTAAAGAGAAAGCACATCAAAGCCACTAAAATTTCCTTTCCTGTTTTAACCATAGTGTCTCTCACGTCAGATCGTGGTTCCACACTTGGGCCTCAGCAGATTGAAAGCTTTGAGTTTTATTTAAGGCTCTGCATCTATAAAATGGCGAAGTTTTCTTTCCTCTCTCTCAACGCCTCCCCTTTTTGGCAACCTTCCTACCCTTACTTTACAGTTTTTCATTTTACTGTTTAACCTTAGGGGAGAACACGGAAAATTTTTCTCTTAGTAATATCTGCAAACAACGCAGACCAGCCTTTCACCATAAAATTTTCCCTGCCATTAGGACTTTTTAATTCAGCTCCATCTTTTTGCCAGCTTGTGAAACAATTACGTTGCTGCTGAAAAATGTTGAGCATTGCTTTTGGAGAGAGACGTGCTTCCCTCATCTATGACAATGAAGGGTTTTCAGGGCAGTGGTGAGCTGGAGACTTCAGCCTAAGTGCCCTAAGCCACTCATTTGCTTGCAGTCATCTCAGCTTGAGTGGAAGTCTGCACACTTGCAGACAAAGCCAAAGAGTCCACTCCTCCGTTCTCCTCAAATGTTTGCATTTTCAACAGCAAAAAAACCCCACCCTTTTCTCTCCTCCTCCCCTTCATTTTGGCAGAATAGAGATATAAGAGAAGTGCCACTTGCTCAAAGTAAATCCCTTAGAAAGAGACACCAGCTGTGGGATTTACTAAAATCCGGTCTTGGGTTAAGCTTTACAGGCCACAGTTTGCAACGTGCTCCATCGCCTCAACTTCTGCTGGCATCTACAGGAGTTACCGGCATTCGGGGCTAGGCATTCAGTGTCCCTGACCATAAACTAGTTAGCATGTCTGTAGCAGTTAGCAGCGAAGTATGAGAAGCTGGTTTGTCTCAGAGCCTTAGGAAAGGCACACTCCAGGACCCTGGTCAGGAGTCACCTGACATTTCAACAGGTGTTAAGGAGCTGTGGTGACCAATAAATAGCACCTGTCTTCGGCACATAGAAATCTAGAATGTAGGGAA